AGTTTTTTTCTTCTCTTTTTTTGTTTTTTACTGGTAATTTTTTTTTTGCTTTTTTATTTTAAAATAATTTAATAACTCAAACTTGAAACTACTCCACCCCAATTTGAATGTGTAGTTTATTTTTTATATATATTTATTTTTCGTTGTTTTTTTATCATATTTAATTATACAATATCTATATTTATTAATCCAAATAAAGTAATCAATTACTATATATATATATATTAATATATATATATATATATATATATATATATGGTAGCTTTTATTTTATTTTATTATTTCGTTTTTTATATGTATATTATATATAAATAGATTTATCGTTTTTTTTACTTCAAATAATTTTAAAACTCCAATTTGAAACACTCCCCAATTTGAATTGGTAATTCATTATTTTTTTTAATTTCGTTTTTTTATTTTGTAAAACTCCAAACTTGAAACTACTCCCAATTTGAATGGGTAGTTTTTTCTTCTCTTTTTTCATTTTTTTATAGGTAAATTTTTTTTTTTTTTTGCTTTTTATTTTAAAATGTTAAAGAAACTCAAAACTTGAAACCACTCCCACGAAATTATAATTTAAAATACTCAAACTTGAAACTACTCCCACCCAATTTGAATGGTAGTTATTTTTTATATATTTATTTTTCATTTTTTTATTATATTTAATTATAAGATATCTATATTTATTAATCCAAATAAAGTAACCAATTAATATATATGTTAGTTTTTTATTGTATTTTATTATTTTCTTTTTTGATATGTATTTAAATTCAAAAATAAGTAACCAATAACTAATTATAAACTAAATAACTAATTAGTAACCAATTATTCCACGTGGCATTTTTTTAGGTTGCCACTTGGATTAAGGAGAGACTTTTTTCTCTCCTTTTAATAATATATAGATGTGGTGTTTGAAAATCTGCTCATGGCAACGGAGTATAGCCATTTTGCTGAAGGCCTCTACGAAACTACATCGTTTCAAGCAATAAAAACCCCATATTTTAAACTGATCTCATAGCTCGCCACGTGTCCCACAGAGAAACCAAGATAGATTTGCTCAAAAGTAGGGTATATATAGGCCAGGTTGGTTCGGATTTTTCAATTACCAAACCAAACCAATTGTCTCCGATTTTTAAATTTATAAACCAAACCAAACCAACAAAAGTCGGATTTTTTCAATCAAGTTTTTTAGGGATTTTTACCTAGCTATACTATAGTAGAAACCTATTTACTACCTTTATTTAGGTTCCTTATTAATTACTTTATATACCTATATTTACTAGTTTTATACAAAACCATAAAAAGGAGGAAATGAAACATACCTTAAATTGGGTATCAGTTACACATAATCCCCTACATTTAAGACAGGGGCGGATTTACATGGTAATTTTAGGTGCTCAAGCACCCATTGACCTTGACGTAAACTAGGTGTAGCAATAATTAAAATATAAGAAATAGGATATAAAATTTTACTGAGCACCCAATAAACAAAATGACTGATGGGTGCTGTGGTTCAGAAGTTGGAGTTAAGACCTTTCCCGAAAGCGAAGACCCAGGTTCTATTCCCGTCACATCGCTTCCTTTATAGTTTTGAATGTCAGCTTTTTGTCTTTTGTGGAAAAGTTTAACTTTTCCTATTCCCTTTAGGTTTTAGTTTATGTTGTCAGCGGTTTTTTTTAACCTTTCTCTGCTTTCGAACTAAATTTTTCTTTTTTAGTTTTTATTTTCTCCTTTTCCTACTTCCTTTCACCTTTAGGCTTTATTATATTAATAATTAATTAGATTTAAATATAAGAAAGGCCATCTTTACCGTCTTACAGAATACTTTAAAAGTAAACCCTTTTTGAGTTTTTGCTCATTAGAAACGTAGAGAAGGGAAAAACGAAGAACAAAGTAGACGAAACAATTAGCAAACTCTCCGGTCATTCACAACAATCTCAAAATCATAACATAGTACAAGGTAATTAGATTTGGTATTTTTATTGAAGTAAGAAATTAAAAATATTCTTAGAAGGATTTTGAAATTTTTTCATGCTTATCGCTTATTCTTTGAAAGCATATTCAATGAAAAATATTATCTTTGTTACCAACTTGCTTGATTCCAAAACTTAAGTTTGAGAATATATGCAGGTTATTAATATTGGTGGGTTGTGCGATTGATGAAATTGTGCTCATCAGCTCATTGCTTCAGAAATTTGTAAGTTTTCATCTTGTCTTTCGAAAAATTAAATAGTTATATCATTATTGCCGCGTTGTTTGTGTTGTTGATTGAGGGGCATGGTTTTCCCAATAGAAATTAATTAAATTATGTGTAGTAAATTTCGGATCAAATTAAATTGAACTAAATCTTGTTTGTAGGAATTTTTCATCAATCTTTTGTGTCGAGATGGATAAGTTTCTCACAAGATCAAAAGTTGGGCAACCAAGTTCTAGTTCTACTCATTCATCTGTTGCGTCATCCGTAGCCCCGGAAATTCAAAGGGATATATCTCTTTCAGATCATAATTTAGGATCTCCCAATACTGACCCGGGGGATAGGAAGTCCATTGCAGAATATAGCCCTAATATACGAGATAAAATTAGAAGATATTATATTCAAATGGGACCTTGCCAGCCTACGAGTCATGATTTTCCTAAAACTAAGTTTGGGAAGACAATGCGTCAGTTTTATCCTGGTTGGTTTAAGGGTCAACACTCAAAGTGGTTGGAGTACAGTATATCAAAAGATGCTGCATATTGTTTGTGTTGTTATTTATTCAAAAATGAACATGAAATTCATGGAAATATGGGGGATGCTTTTACAAAAAATGGATTTAAAGGTTGGAACAAGGCTATAGAAAGATTTAAAGCTCATGTTGGAGAGGTAGATAGCATCCACAACAAGTGTTTCAATAGGATGATTTATTTAATGAATCAATCACAATCAATTCGCACTTCTTTTGAAAAGCAATCCGAGAAAGAAAAAAGTGAGCTCGACGTCGCTTGAGTGCTTCAATCGATGTGGCTAGGTTTCTTTTGAGACTAGGATTGCCATTTCGTGGGCACAATGAAAGTCAATCTTCTACAAATAGAGGTATCTTTCTTGAACTCTTGCAATGGTATGGAGATATTGCTCCGGATATTGGAAGTATTATATTAGAAAATGCTCCAAAAAAATGAAATGATTTGTTCCCCAATGATTCAGAAAGATATTGTTGATGCTTGTGCCAAAGAAACAATCAAAG